CTTGTTATATGCTTTCTTTATCCAAATCAGTGAATTAACACTGAAGTTGTGTTGATCTCTGATTTTACCCTTCCTAAAATTGATTGAAGTGATATACTTAGTTGTGACTTTCGTAATATTAGTTGGTTGTGTATAGCCGTCACGCAAAGCGAGAAAGTTCAAGACTTAAGAATCTTACTGGCTGTGGCAAAGATTTATTAGCGTGATCTCTCGAAAGTCACGTTTTTTGAATGCAAGGGCTGTTTAAGGAAAAACCTCCATTTGGGGCGAAAACATGCACGAATATTTGTCCGCGGACGCTACCTATTCCGGGATGTGAACAGTTTTTACGAGATCGAAGCTCAAGCAAAACTTTGGCTATTTAGAAGCCGAGGAGAGCTAAGAGGAACTGTGGGTTGTGTATGTAGATATATGATGTACCGTGTCTGTCTGTTTATGTGAATTATGTTTGTTTATCAAAAATGTATGTAACTTTGAATTAATAAAAATTAATAAAATGCAAAAAAAAACAAAAAAAAACAAAAAAAAAAAAAAAACTTTGAGCTTCGACGAACAAATAACATCCAAGGATACATATACGAGCATTTGTTCTCACCAAATGGAGGCTATTGAGTTTATTACCCGTGGGTAAAATGTTTACGAACAATGTAATGTTTGCTGCGCGTGGGATGACGTTTCAGTGTTGCCTGGTACCACTTTAAGAACAAACAAAAATGTTCCTTCTCCGGTAACAAAAGCTAAACGCGCTCTCATCTTGAATTAAATTTGAAACGAACACTTTTATCGTAGTTGATGTGAGGTTTGAAAATTGGGGAATATCACTTGAGGTACATCGTCAGATATTCAGTTTTAGCTAGGGCATATTCTCTCACTGGATGCGTTTAGACCAATCGCATATAAGCGAAAAATATTTGATAGATTATAAAAAGAGATATGCAGCAGCTGATAAAATTAACAAGAACCTAGGTTTGTTTTAAAAAATTCTCTCAAACTGAGCGGTAAAGTCCCACATTTTGAACAAACTTAAGGGAAAGCGAAGTTTCAGTACGTATCGGTGAGGAGAAAAGATGGCAGTTTCTACGAGAAAAATGACTTGCTGTCATTATGTGATCTATAAACCAGACTGCGTGTCCCTGATCCTTTATGCGTGACTAGTTAGAAGCAAAGAAAAAATATAAATTAATGTTTTTGTTCTGATGATCAACAGAACCGTAATACCAAGGTAAATTTTTCTTCTCAGGCTCAATGAGTCATTGTTCAATGATCTTTTCGACTGTGACTCGAGTATTTTTCAATAGTATATTTTCACCTGCGGCGAAAAGTATGAATTGTTAGACATACTCCGTTCTTGAAGATTCCTGGGAGTCGACTGTTCGTTGAAATGTGTGATTGAGCAAAAATTCTCCCCGTCCCTCTCTCCTCTTGGACTGCCTTTATGCGCATAATGATTTCAACTTTACATGTTTTTTTTCCTTTGGGGTAGATATCAATGAATGCCAAACCTCAAATCCATGCAAAAATAGCGGACTATGCGAAAACACACATGGAAGCTATGAATGCAAATGCACGCTTGGATTTACAGGAAGAAATTGCGAAACAGGTGGGTTATTGATCATAGACATTACCTGGGTTTTCGCCGGGTTACATTATTTGTCATATGCCTACGTACTTTAAATCAGTGAATTAATAGGTAACGTGTTGATCTTATGATAGAAAATTGCGACAGTACAGTTTTAAAAATCGATTCGAGTGACATTCAAACCGGTGACCTTCGAGATATCAGTTGATTGCGTGAATCTATAATTAATTGCATGAATATTGGTGCCATCTCAAGGAAGAAATATTTCTGGAGTTTAAAGTTAATATCGTGATATGGCATGTTTGGTAGTATCTGCAATCACCTAGGCCTGTTCTTTTCCCTTTTTAATTTCAAGGAACTGAACAGTAAACTCCCAAGTTGTAAGCAATTAAACCAAAGGTCAAATAATTTTAAGCTCTAATTTTGCTGTTCGAGAACTGCAAAGAGAAAAAAAAGGATGTGAAATATTCGTAGATATATGACAGAAAAAAGAAATGCTGGCCTGGGAAACAAGATATCAAGTTAGGACACGTGCAAACTTACTTTGAGGGGGGATAACGGTCAGTAAATGTGACTAAAACTACGTATGACCAGGAAGAAAATTTTTCCCACCGCTCTCCCTTCTTAAAAGTTTTTTTTATTTGGGGCAGATATTGATGAATGCCAGACCTCAAACCCATGCCAAAATGGCGGACAGTGCGAGAACACACATGGAAGCTATGAATGCAAATGCAAACCTGGATTTACGGGAAAAAATTGCGAAACAGGTTGGTTATCAACTATAGACGAAAAATAAACCGTTGGCTGTAGGTCTTGTCGATTTTCGAACAAATTCAATAATAATAATGATGATGATGATAATAAGAATAATGATAATGATAATAATAACAACTTTCTATAGTGATTATTATCAGTAGCTTATGGTGCTTTACAATATTATGGAAGACAAAAATTAAAGAAATTGGAGCAGGAAGAAAATGAACAATTCCATTTTATAACAACTCGGGGTTTGAAATATACGATAAATACTTTACTAATAGTATACAACTGCAAAACAACTAAGGTAAAGATATTTGATAGGTGTTCTACAAAAACGATGAATTTCTATTAGCAAGATACCTACGAATATGCGTGATAACGATTTAAATAAGTGAATCAGTGAGTAAAGTGTTGACCGTATCATACAACCCCTAGATTAAACTATTTTAAATCGATTCAAGTTATTTTCCAACTTGAGACTTTTGAGATATCACATTGGTGCATTGCGAAACTCTTGCCCAGATAAAGCGAGAAAAGCCCTTCGGAAAGAGCCCTTCTAATATTCAAGAATGTCTTTGGTTGTGGAAAAAAAAGATTAATCAGTCTTACCTCTAGGAAGAAACATTTCTTAAATTTGAGACTAATGCCGTTATATTTATTAGTTGATAAGATCTGTAGCCACTTATGCCTGTTTTAACTTCTAATTTTTAACTCGTGATACGCAAGTCTGTGAGTGCAAAACTCTGAAGAACCTTGCAAAGTTATTGTGACGTAAGGATGCGTGGCCTGCAGACCACATAATGTAGTCCAGATAAGGCGCAACGACGTCATTCTCCAGGTTACCACTTTGGCATTCCACGTAAAGGTTTTAAAATTTACTTGCTGCACTTCCGCAGCGTCGCCTCTTTACTTTCAAAATATCTGTTATGATTGTAATAATATTCTGAAGCATTGGAAGCTTTTAAAAATGTCCTCCGTCGATCCCTTCGCTAACTGATGCGACATTTCGCGTAATTCTAAAAGAAACATAAATATTTTGCAATCTGAAAAACACGCACAGCAGTAATTGAGTAAAGTTAACGGCAATCAAGAATACTAACAGATTGGGTTACTGAAATCTTACAGATATCGACGAATGTTTGGATGCAAAGGTGCCGTGTGCTGATGGAGGAACATGTGTCGACGGAATCAACAGCTACACGTGCGACTGTACGGATGGATACGTTGGAAAATATTGCGGTGAGAAGACAGTAGCCCTATAATACATAAAAGTTAGGTACTCGAGTTAAATTTAGTAAACCTAAACTTTAAAAAACAAAAAACAAAAAATTCTGCCTCAAAGACACAAGAATGGAATCTTTAAAAATAAGCCATCATGATGATTAGAATGATTTATAGCAACTATTTCGGACAAACTTGAAAACGTTGGCCAGACATTTTCAAGATACTTGTTTCGAAGGAAAACAGAAAAACAGGATACTGTGAGAAGTTCCATGGGGAAAAGATTTAAGATGACGCTTGATACCTTTTAAATGTGCTGTAAAAGTTTACCCTGACCCCGAGCCAGTTCTACGGAAGAGCCTAATTTATCGCACCGTAAAAAGAGCAATTGTTAGCTAGGATTCATTGGTTCGGTAACTTCAACAGACCAGTGAAGAAATAGTTACCACTTGTCATCACTTTGAGTCAAAATCTAATGATTGTGTCGTTGTGACATACATTGGATGCGAATTCATAAATTTTACCGGTTTTTTTTCCTCCTCAGTAATTCTTTACCTCGTCTACCGAAATCTAAAGTAAATTAATTACTTCAAGGTTAGAAACTGGACTTCATAACTTATATCACCTAAACACATATTACTTGGCCTCCAAGGAAATTTTGTCTCTTCTAACTTCGCTGATAATGTTCAATTTGTTTTATTAAGAATGGGAAAAGCAGGGATGTTTTAAGGAGGTGAAAAAGAAAAGTAAAAAGGCCATGAGAACCACGTTTGCAATATTCAAAAAGTACAAGAACAATATCCAAGGTGCGGTCGAGGCTTGTATGAAAGCAGCTGAGGACAAAAAACTGGAGATCTTTGGGGTTCGTGGGAGATACAAGTGTGTGACAACCAAAGGCAATGCTGATTACAAGGTGCATGGTGCATCACCCAAAGGGTGCAAAGCGGACGGAGATTACGGAGTTGGAGTAAAGAGCGCAAACTATGTCTACATTTTGACCAAATAGCTGTAACATGGAACTCGATAAAACCTGGTGAGTTTAATGCTGCTATCTAGGAAAGCTTCTGTGTTAAAGTCAGATGTAAACAAAATGAAAAACTCATCACGAGGAACTGAGTGAGGTGCGCAGAAAACATCCCAAGGTAACTCGAAATGGTTTCGCATCTCTAAACGTCAACATAAGCGGATCGATACTTCCATGCCTTCTCGCGTGTTCCTTTGTAATTTGTATCAAAAAAAGAAGTCCAAATTATTTCTTAAGAAGTTGTTATCATTTTTTGACATAAGAGGTCACCATAGCAGTAATCTCACTGCTCTACTTAAACACCCTTATCTTTTGGCTTTATCTTCAAAAAAACGGGTTCCGTAACCCCATTTTAAATTACTGACCTGCAGTAAGCATGCCAACATTCACCTCTCTGCAAAACTTGCACAAATGGTTTACACAGCACAAAGTAATCTTACTTTTAATGATTCTTATTAATTTGATGAAAGTTTTTTGGGCAAGTACATGCATAAGAAATTATGGCAGTATCGATCCAGCAAAGAAATGATGGATAAAAAAACAAGAAACCGTCGTGAGTCACATTCAAAGAATTATTTAGGACCTTTAGCGGGAAACAAAGTCTAATCGCTCTGACGAAGGGCTAACGCTCGAAACGTCAGCTTTTTTTACCCTTTACGGTGGCTAATTTACGTTTTCAACTCAGTTGTTAACACTAAATTACCTGCTATACTCTCCCATCGACGCAGCACCACAGTTTCTGAGCTGAACACGAGCTAAATATTCCAAACCTGAGAAACTTATTTCACTTTCCATGGCATTATTTGACTTGGGATATTGCTGCTCGCCATTGATGAGTTGCTATTCCGTCGCATTTTTACCAAAAATTTGTCAGGTCTCCTGGAAGTTTTTCGGTCGGCTTCATTTATACTCCTGGAAGGTGAGATAAGCGTCTTTAAGATAGCTAGTTCTATTCCTTGCGTTGACATTCAGTTGTTTGTTTTCATTTTTTACAGGCGTATCTGTTGGTAAGATGTCGTTTGATCAGTTCGAGGAACATGAAAGCAAAGTAACTGGAACTAGAGGAATGCCCCTGCTAAACATGATATTCAGTCCTATTCATATACTGATAGCCAAAGAGAATTAATAAAGTGATTCAGTGCAAATTGTTTTTGTTTTTTGATTTTTCACTCAGCAATGTCTATATTGTTTGAAAATGTTCTTACTTCTCAAACTAACTTTACCTACGGGCTTGAATTCGGTCGCAGTGTAACACCTGTTATTGTGGGTGTTTGGGATTAATGAAGTTGTTCTTCTGCCAGTGATATTTTTCGAGTATGATTTTCGAGCGCTACAGTGTGTTGCTTTATTACAACTCTTCATGGAACGAAGACAGTTTACCTAGAAACCTGCCCTAACAGTCATAAATCCACCAGCCAACAATTTTAATGAATTTGATGAAAATTTCAAAACGGGGAAACTTTTAAAGCTGAATGTACAGGTGAGCATCCTTTCCAAAAGGATTGAAATTAAACAATAAAATGTCATTAAACGTGTGGAGAAAAACATCCTAGGCTCCACTTGCTCAGTTGACTGAATCTCTATAATCGAATGTAAGTCCCTTCTAAGGATTCCACCGTCGAGATTTCAGAGCTGCTTTTTGATCATTAACAATGAAAAAATATTTGTAACCGTTTGACGTCTGATAGTTAGCTCCACGGAGGCCTTCTAGTTTGCCTCTGCAGCACAGAAATTACGTTGTCAACCACTATTCGTAACACGCTGTGAAAACTTGGAAAAGGTAGCTAACTTAAGCCTCCTAAGCTAAGAAAGCACAGGATGCCATATGAGAAAAATTCTTACCTTGAGAGATTGAAAATCTAGAAAAAGCTTAGAAAACTACAGTGTTAACTAAGTAAAGTAGAAGGGAGCATAAATTCTGAAGTATTTAGCTCCAACAAGAGATTCTTGACCAGTTTATAATTTCTTGGCTTTGATATGTGAGAGTTTCAATGAAGTGATGGCTTTTACAGCTAACGTTTACAATTTTAGCCGGTTAATATATTTCCATTGTGGTCACCATAATTTTTTTTTACGGTTAACTTTTTTACGACTAACTGTGAAAATTTGTCTACTTTTACACCTAGCGGCTAAACTTTTGGCCGTTTTACAGCTAACTGTTAAACCCATTAAGACCTTCGTACAAGGAGAAGAAGAATTGTGTTAGCTCTTTGGATAAAATCATCAACTATACGCAAACTGTGCTTTCCTTGAAAAACACTTTAGAATCGGTTCATACTTAGCGTGCGTATATCGAGTTATGGATGTACGAGGGAAGTTTGGAGATCACGAGAGAAACGTATACTAGCTTCTTGAGAGCTCTCCAAACTTCCCGCGTACATCTAGAACTCGAGTACACCTAAGAGAACGAAACAATTCTTGATAAGAAAACGGAGGAAAAGCAGGAAAGCTGAAAATCATTCATTTAGCAGGCTCGTGGCTCGTGGCTCGTGGCTCGTGGCTCGTGGCTCGTGGCTCGTGGCTCGTGGCTCGTGGCTCGTGGCTCGTGGCTCGTGGCTCGTGGCTCGTGGCTCGTGGCTCGTGGCTCGTGGCTCGTGGCTCGTGGCTTTGAGCAAAGGAAGGCGACGGGTTTCGGAGAAACGTGAACTAAAACGATTGCCTGATCACGTCGTGCAGATACGGGGGGTCTGGGAATGATGCGTTGGGAAGTTTGAGCCAGCGAGACAGCAAGCAGCGTATAAACCAATGGCAACGAAAACAAACATGGCGGGATTCATGTTGGACTCCAGAGAGGAGCTTGTGGAAGTTTGCTCGCAAGATATAGCTTTTTATATCCATTAAGATACTTTTTGGACACAAGAAATATGTCGACAGGGACTCTTTTGTTAGAGTGCACGGAGTTCTATAATATTCTCAACCAGGTATGGAAGTGAATTCTTCTCAGTCTCGAAACAGTAACAGGCGCTCTTTGTTTCCAAAAGTAAGCTAATTACTTTATAGGGCATAATTAGGGCGTAAAGGTTTGATGTCACTGTATTTCAGGCAGGAAGGTACCCGAGGCTGAGTGATCCGAACTATTTACTCCTTTTAGGTAAGAAAGCTAAGCAATAGATCTATGAACGAAATAAAAAAAAAAAGTGCCGTGTACATTGTTGAGTTACAGAGACATGAGTGATCTTTTTAAGAACACGATCCCAAGTGCTTCTATAACTCAATAGTGCACGAGGACTGATGTTATTATTTCTTTTGTAAACCACATAGGTGGCGGAGCAGAGGTGTAGGAAGCGTCACCAGGCCCCCCCAGGAAAAATTTTTTTGGGGGGATGAAAATTGACAGAGTATTTAACAACAAGGAGTAAAACAACAAGGAACCAAGGAGTAAATTTTATCTAAAAAGATTATTGATTTTTAGATGAATTGGCTAAAGCAACAGTTTCTTTCTCAAAATCAACAATTAGAATCAGAAATTGTAAAAGGGGAGAAATTATAATTTCAGGGAGACCATAAAAATGAATTCATTTGCTTGAGTCCCATACTCAATGGAGACTTGAGAGCTCTGTATGGTTGCCACAGGGTAGGAAAAAGTCATGAATTTCACTTTGAGTCAGGGAAATTTTACATCTTTGAAATTTGTTATGAAGAAGTAAAATCTCAAGTAAATCTTGTCCAAGACCTATTTGGGATGAAAGATGCCAACAGTTTTTGACAGTTATAGATTCCTAACAAGCATGTTGAAGTCAAACCACATCATACAATGTATTTTGGGAAGGACATGATAACAGAGCTTAAGAGTCACTGCTCTTTAACGATAAGTACAACTTTTTCACCCTGGTAGGTCATTGGTACAGGATATAGGAGTTGGAACAATAGGCACTTCTTCCATATCTACCTGTAAATTCTTGTTTGGAGATCATCAGTCAAAACTTAAAGTGAAGGACAATGCAGTGTTTCATTAAGTGGCTAATGTTGTACATATGATGTTTTGCAGATACCAGACAAATGCATGACTACAGTGAAAGCCATATCATAACAGCAAAGTTTGCACCAAGGGTTAGCATTAAATATCAGTGGTATTATCTTTAAATTTATGCAATAATTTTGTTTTGAGTGCATGGTTTATGGTTAATTGCAAAAGGGAAACATGGGTTGAATCAATAGGCTATTTTACAGTTGTATACTTGGTTGCCAAGCCTTTGATTTGGAGTGAGGCTGAAGGTGACCTTGTTGGGATAGAGACCAGTATCAGGTTTACATAATAACAAGGTCATTAACTTTTGCAAAGCAATGAGGTTTGTATCATAACAAAGTCACCCTTAGCCTCACTCCTGTTGAAAAGGCTTGGCAACCAAGCACTCAACTGTGAAATGGACTATTATAACTGGGTATCAAATTTGGGAATGGAGTTGGGGTGGGGTGGCATCCACTGTGTTTTGGATCTTTTCAGTGCAATGGTTTCATTTGGATTGGTGAATGTTTCTGATATAGATATCACACAGTTTTCAAAGAGAGAGAAAAAAGGAACATTAGGCTAGAAAGGTGCAGGGTTGTTCAAAATCTTTCTAATGGATTGAGGTCAAACTGCAAAAGCCACAGGAACTAAACTTACTGTAGGTGGTTGCTACATTATTGAGACAGTTTACAGTTGGAAATGCATGATTGTTAGCATTCGTCCTGGACATTTATTTCCTACATGTAAGATGATGATATAATGTTTTCATTTTGAGTTTTATAATACCATATTTTTCATTTCCTCATACAGTAGGCTTAGTTGTAAATATGTTTTAAAACAATAAACTGGTGGACAAAAATGAAAATATGCATCTAGCATTTGCTTACCCATATCACTATTTTACTGTGAGGTGTATTCTCTGTACTTTTGACCACAATCTAGAATGACATCGGTGCTTTCCTAGTTCCTCATGAGGCTGAACTGCAGACCAAGGAACATGTGGTTATTTATGACAGTAACACCAGTTCCCTCAAAGACAAAAGTGAGTTTTTTGACCTTATTGTTTTTCGTTTGACTTGCAAGGCTTTTTGTCAGTAGCTTTTCTGATCCCTTTTAGATTAAGCAAGTCTAACTTTACTTGAGATTCAAGTTGTTGATCTTGAATCAGTGTTTTTCATCGTATGTGTTATGTTATGTGTCAGACAGCACAGCACTGTCATGTGCCAAGCTAATGTGGGATATGGGAAGCAAGAATCCTGTCGAAGTTATTAAAGGTAGTCATTAATTTTCTGTATTTAATTCTTATGTCATTTTATCAAATAAAGTCATAGCAATGCATAAAAATATGCTACAGTATTTCATTGTAGTACACAGAAGAAATATAGAGCAACAAGATGGCAGCACTGATCAATCCAAACTTTGATTTTTTTTTTATTTTTTTATGAAATGAAAGTGGTCACAATGAACACTTTAATGGTTTCACTTGTGTTTTTTTTGTCTTTTGCGTATTCCTCGTGCAATTGATTTGATGCTCAAATAGGGCTGTAGGATGTATTTTGCAAACTTTAATTAATTAAAAACACTAAAAATTGAAAGAAAAAATCCCTTATCTGATGGTTTAAGGTATAATACTTCACAATGTTTCACTCATTGCCCTTATTTTTCTCTTGCCTCTTCAGGGCTTGGAAAATACCATGAAACTTTCAAACTATCTGTGCTAATTATATGTTAAACCATCGAATAGGTGGATATGAATAATGGTTTTAATTGTCACTGATATCTGTTATGTTAGTGTATAATTAGTTATAATTTTACTTATGTTGTTATTCACATAACAATATATATTATTCATTTCTGAGTAAAGAATATTTTCTCAAAAAAGTTTGATTGCCAGAGTACCATTTACTTCACTTTAAAGTCTTCTTCATCTTTTATAAAAATTCAAGATACAGTGTTACACATGTACAATTGTTCAAAGGCTATCGGTAAGGACAAATATCATTATGATAAAACACTGATTAAAATCTGATTTCAAACATTACAACAAATCTTTAATTATTTCATACATTTTCTTTAGGTGGATATGAAGACTTTTCAGCACTGTACCCATTCTTACGAACACAGAAGATCATATACATGGCAAGGGTAAGTTTGAATAATGACTTTACAGCCACTTAAGAAACAATT